ACAACGCTTTCCTGCACACCATAAACATCAGTATTATCGCTCTTTCTCTGGAACACAGTTATAATCTTCACCAATCTCAAACAAAAAGTCAGCTCTTTTTATCCTTCCTGGGTCCCTGGCAAGAAACCAAGATCTCTTGCTTGTGTTAGCTTTGTTCTCGCTGATAACGTATGCGCTGTGTCACTTCAATATTGATTTTCTGGAGTTTGCCTTGCAGGTCTATGATGTCTACAAGCATATGTACAGACAATTTGCCTTTTCTTGCTTCAGTGCGGTATATCGCTATCACATTCACTAATTTTTCCACATACTCCCGAGAAACAAGAAAAAAAAAAAAATTATGGAAAAAGGGAAATTACAGGTGCATTTCAATTCTACCCACCTCCCCGAAGGACACAGAACAATCTGAACTAGACTCCATCACCAGTAAGCATGACCATAACAAACAAACAGGTGCCAGGTCATCATCATGGGCTACCTGGAGGCAACAGTAGTTCAGTGTACTCTCATTCTGTCTTCTAGTTTTAGTTCTGCTGTTGGGTACAATTCATGTCCCACCCAGGACTGCCACTTTTATGCTGGAAAAAAACTAGGCCTATCCCATCATGGAGTGCATTCAGGACAATACCACTTTTGCCTGTTCATTGCCACACATATGAAATGAAACCACTCATCACAGATGTCACAACCAATCATGCCCATATCTCCTTGAGAGGCATTGCTGACAGGATAGAGCCAAACCATATCCTCACCTCTGGAAGGGGTGTCCGAGTAGGCATCATTCACAGGAGTCTCAGAAGAGAGGGAGGAGTGAATCAATTCTCAATTCACCTTCAACATCTGGAGACAGGGAGAGTCCCAAGAAGCACAAATGTCATAAGGAGTGGACATGCACAGGGCCATCCCCCTTGCTTGATGGTGAGCAGATCTGATGACGCCATTATCCCCTCCCCCCTGAACAGCTCCAAAACAGTTCCCAGGATGCAAAAGGGTCTAGGTTTAATGGAGCTTTTGACAAGAACTGTCATTAATTTTTAGCTGGTTTCTGAACGGCACTTGGGAGCATCCCTGAAGCTCAACAGGTACTCATTGTACTAAGTGCATTGGAACATATCCAGAAAATTCTTACACATCTCCACGGATTTAATCAACCTTCTCTTACTAAGAGGAATAGCAGAAGAAAGATCACCTCCTCCTATGCATAGCAACAATCCAGGGTTTTTATTTGGTCTGATGAAATTGTTAGGTGTTATTGCTTTCAATTCCTTACTTGCAGACTCACGGTAAGTCAGAAGACTGTTGTTCACTGACCTCTGAATATCCGATACGATCATTAGGAGAGAGAAATAATTTACCTTGCCTTTGCCGATAACCTTGTATAGGTAAGCCCTTAAGGTCCAAGTACCAAACAAGGTCAAGCCAATTATACACTTAATCGATACCAGGCTGGAACTGTGGACAAACCTCCTGGCAAGGGAGTAGTTGGCCCTCTGGAAATTGTCCAGTAAGCAATCCAAATGGGATACTCGAACCAACAGATCCAATGCTTCATCCACCAGAACTGGGAAGGGCCACACATGACCAGTGCCTAAATCAGTTTCCAGATTCACCTCCTTAAACCACCTCTCACACTCTCCCAGAAGTGTTGACAGCCTCAGGTCACAATCAAGACTGAATGACTCCAAGCAGCCCAAGGAGAGCAACACCTCCCTGGACAAATACATACGACTACTCCCTGTATCCAGTAAACAGTTGACAGAAACACTTCTGCCATTTCTACCAAAGGTCATGCATATGAAACAGGTGACAAATTACATGAGACTCCCCCCACCACCTCTCTAGGAAACTTAATGAAAAGTAATTTCGCCATGAGGCAAGCTCTGTCTGAAAGATCGTCATTGAAGTCACAAGCAAAGGAGCTTCCCAGCTCACCAAGAAGTGACTCATCTAGATAAAAAAATTCCTCGGGTCAGAATAGGACCTCTCACATTTGGGATGATAGTCATTTATGTCCTGGAACACTTGGTCAATGATTTCATGCACATTCAAGTATTCAATTTTGAGAATTTTGAGAGTAATTTGGTAATTCCTGTTGACAATGTTCAAATGGCTGATCAACAGCAAGTGTCTGTCAGAGAGGGAACACTTTAAGAAATTCAGCTTCTCTGCATCATTAACCATGCCGACCACACATTTTACAAAGCAAGACAAGAAATTTCAGAAGCTCATGCAGTCTCTGTCCATATCTAGACCATTGAAGGTGGGTCACACTATCTGCCCTTGCAGAGGTTTAACAGCAAAGGAGAACACACCTCTGCCAGATAAAAAAACAGGAGAACCTGAAGAAGGAGTCTGATCCAGGAATGTGTCGAAATTTAGCTTAGTAACAGCCAAACTCGGTGCAAAAAAGGTTGGGAAACTTTGTCATTACGTCCAATGACGGGAATCCCGTGTAACACAGTTAACAGAGACCTGAAACCATAACACGCGAGATAAAGAAGGAGGAAAAACCACTTGAAATAGCTATAAATTTTATTGAGGGAAAAGAAAAAAAAATAAAATGAGGGGGGAATAAAAAAATAGTTCAGAGAGAGTGAAAGAGGTAGAGAGATAGCAGAAAGAGGGGAAAAATTAGACTTACTGTTCAAAAAAAAAAAAAAACTTTAGTATTTTTTTAGTAGCTGGGCAGAAAGGTTTTATAGATATTTTGAGTTGCTCTCCTTGGAAGATAAGCAAGATTCCTGTTAAGAATAAATGCAGACTTGTTTTTTCAAACTTTCTCTGCGACACAAATTCAACTTCTTAGAAGATCTTTTTTTTTCATATACTTTTTTCACATCAGGATTTCGTCCTCCAATAGGACAAAATAACTCCTCGAAGGAAGGTAGTTTTTTCAGCTGCTTGACTGACTTGTTTCTCTCTTCGACCTGATTGTCGAAAGAAAACTTCCTTGCGAATGTTCTATTGTAAAATTCTCTTTACAATAATTACTTTAACCGATTTTTTGATAAGTCTTTAATGACTTGTCCTTGGTTGCTGAACAATAATCCACTTTATTACTGGAACAGAATCTTCAAGCAAGTTTTCTTTTCGTCGCAAGACAAGATGACTTATCGTCTTCACACTGCAGCGCCCTTTTCCTTGTCAGAGCAACAACAGGTTATCTTCCAGCAAGTTTCTTTTCGTCGCAAGACAAGACGACTTCGTCTCCACACTGCGAACACACTTTTTCTGCTACTACTGACTAGATTCCTCTAATCTAGTTGAAAACAAGCGGGGAAAATCACGTACGACCAATCATTAAACACGATTTCGCCACGTGACACAGCAGCAGCAGTTCTTACACTGCACACAGGGGGAAAAGGAGAGGAGGAAGGAAAGTAAGAGAGATAGAAAGATACAGAAATTAAATTTCTGACACTCTCCCGAATAAAAAAGAAAAAAGAAAAAAACGTAACAACAACTAATACCAAAGATAGTCAGGATTCCTATCCTTAACTGATTTCAGAGTTCTAACCGGTCTAGACCGAGATTCACTAGTTGTCTCAACAATATCTTCATTCTCTGTTTCACAAATTAAATCACTACCATGTTTCTTCGGTTTTATTTGAAACGAATGGGATATAGACAATTCAATCGGAAATAAATGCTTTATTGAATGCTCTTGAAATGTGACACAGCAGCAGCAGTTCTTACACTGCACACAGGGGGAAAAGGAGAGGAGGAAGGAAAGTAAGAGAGATAGAAATATAGATACAGAAATTAAATTTCTGACAAATGCACCAAAGTCAAATGGAGTTAAGACTGTATAAAGCTCCTTCAGTTTCCTATGAATTGCCAACTGGTGAGCCAGCCAATCCATTTCTATCTTCTCCCACTTGCTCTCAGATGAGGAAAAGAGTTCTAATTTGCTCATGCAGATCTTGATCTCTGTCACATATGCCACCATTTGGCCCTGAAATACGGAGAATATATAAGTGGTAACATCCTATCCATGAGACAGTTTCAGTCTTCCATTGATCTTCATTTTCAAAACAGAGATTCACTTGAGCAGGTCATCTTGGCTGTCTGCCATATTGCCACAGAGCATAAACAACAGTAACAAGTATAAAAAAAAAGGAGATAAACACTGGCATGAGTGCTTGTGTTTCACAAGATCTTGAAAATTCCTTTTGACTCTAAGGATAGATCAGAAGGTGGTTCAGTACAGTGAGTGATGCAAAACACTGCCTAGTCTTGCGACCCAAAATTCTGTCAGGGATCATTTAATAACGTGAGGAGAGTATGGAACGACTCTGTTCTCAAAGTCCTTCTCATGAAAAAAAGAGAAGGGAGGGAAGGCAGGCCTTAACTAACAAGGTGGCATGCCACCCCTTCCAGTAAGAAGATTACAAAAACAGTGCTGATGTATGCGATAGGCAACAATAAACTACAGAACTCAAAATTGAGTATTGCATTAATATTTAAGCTTGCCTTTTAAAAATTCAACAATAATTCTGCCATTTTAATTTAAAGACAACTTGATGTATGTAAGCTCTTACTTTCTGTACAAACAATTATTTTTATTTCATGGGTGAATTTCGCTGGATTATGTAATTATTTTCAATTATTCCTAAACTTATTTCCAAGTTATAAAAATTGTTATTGTACAAAAAAAAAAAAAAAAAAAAAAAAAAAAAAAAAAAAATCACATTAAAAAACATCTCCAAAAACAATCACAGTAATGAAAACTCGGAAATTCAAAATTTCAAGATTGCAGGTCCGGATCCAGCACAGAATGCTTTTAATTTACTCACAGAGTCAGCCTGTTTACAAAATGGTATGATATGTTGGGCCATGGCCTTTAGGAGTAAGTTGAAAAAGTGTGACACACTGACATTCACATTTATTTATATAGAAGATGAGATTTTTAAAAGTTAGAAAGTTGTGTCCCTTTTAACTGAAAGAGGGTGACACACACATACATTTTTGAATTTATTTATAGAAGGAAACATTCTCACCTCAGGCTGTGTGTGAATTATCTGGTCAAATTGACCAATTAAAATTTGCCTTAAATTGAAGATGCCTGCATTTGCTTTTCTAGATTTTTTCAGGTTCTGTATCAGCTCATCTGGTATTGGTTCACCAGTTTCATAATGTTTTGACATACGATGGAGAGGTTCTTCTTCCCAAACCCAGTTTTCCAGCATCTGTGATGGGGCTTCAACAAAATCCCTTTCAACATTAGCACCACTGAAAGCAAATAAAATTTTTTAATATAGCTTTAAATATAATTTCATAAAAATTAAAAATTGCTTCCATAAATGATTTGTTCATACCTTTCTTATTTCTCAGCTTTGTACTGGTTAAGGAAGATGAATTGTTTTCTTATAGAGTTTTTGACTGTTGAAAATTTATACAGACCAATATTGGAAAACCGTGAACTGTTGGACAGATTTTCAGTTTTAAAACTCAGAAAAATGTTATTAGAGAGATCAATAATTAGTTTGGCCAATAAGTTTTTTTTTCATCATTAGGTAACTGTAAGAGCATTTAGTTTTAACTTTATTCAAGGTTGCTTTTAATTGTATTGTGAAAGTTATCAGCATAAATTTTTATTTTTGATTATGGATTCTAACATTTTTGGGAGATTATGCTTTTTTTTAAAAAAAAAACAAAAAAAAAACAAAACAAAACATGACACTAATGCAAAAAAGATTGTGCAGTTTAGGCAGAAGGTACTGTAAGTGATCAATGTATTGAAAGTGGTTTATGAAGTTTTGTGCTGGAATGCTTTTTGCTAAATGTTAGTCGGGTAAACTAGTTGAGGTTTATAGTGATTAAATCAAGACACAATTTGAGGATAATAAATGTCACATGATGTAGGGATAGCCAATGTAACCAAAATTTGTTAAGTTAGCAAATACCTACATGATGGAACTAATAACTGAATAAGAAACATTTCATATTAGAGAATAATTACCTAAAAAGAATGTACTTTGCTCTCGTACAAATTTGGTGCATCACATGTCCAAATTCATGAAAGTAGGTTTGTACCTTAAATGAAAAATATCCGAGATATAATTTACAATATTTGTGGAATAATGATTTTATCTGAACAATAACCTATTCACTATGCTTGACATTTTTGCTATAATAGTATCACATCCATTATTGAATATGTCTGCAATTTACCTATGGTTCTTAAACCGATTTTAACACTTTAAAAACAAAAAAAAATGCATGGATTTTGCAATGACTATACAAAATGCAGATTATCATATATTTCAAGTTGGGTTGCAAAAGAGCTTTATTTTTAACGCATTTAAATTTATGCACACACACACACCTCCCCGACATTATATCGAGCAATAATTAAACATTATCTAAAATCATTAAAGAAGCTATAATAAATTTCATCTGCCATAATTCTTGATTTTTATAGTATATTGAAATATTGAACATGATGACTCACCTCATCATGGGCTAGGAGAGAGGGTTTTCCAGTAGTTGGTATGGTCATATTTGCAACCATAGCAGCCACAGCTATTCTCCTTCCACTATCCAAATTTTCACAGCCTTGCTATTATAAATGGAAAAAGAAATAAAAAAAAGTGTTAGGTTCTGTAAATATTAACATTTTTGCTAAAATAGAGGAAATCACTTACTCAAATTTATTCAGTTAAAAAAAGCTCAAACATTATTATCCAAATCCATTTTTACATTCAGTTAACATTAAAATTGATTCAGTAATACTGGTTATTTGAACTTCAAAAAGTTAATTTAACAAGATTTTTATATATCATATTTAGCTTGAAATATTTAATAAATTCTCAATATAATGAATAAACTGCAAAATGATAGATCATTTAGAGGTAGCATTTTAAATTCTCATTATTTTTTTAGTTTGACAGTTGAAAAAAAAAAAATCACTAAAGACAAGCTTCCTTATATCTCCTGTACATAAACTTTTCACTGTATTATAGATGGCAAATATACCCTTCTCTTTCAATTATCATTTCACTTGCAAATCCTTGGAAAAATTGTAAATAAAGTAGGTCCCATTTTTCTGTTAGGAAATTTTCTTTCTAGGTAGATTTGCAGTATTACAACAATTTGATTTAATTTTTGCGCTGTGGCAAAAAAGGTACAACAGTGGTTCTGTCATTCATCTTCAGAGTACTTGTAATATTATTAGACAGAATATCTTTAAGAGCAGGATTATGATTTTTGTGGCAGCTTCCAAGTACATAAGAATGCAGTCATGAAAAATCTATTTTTCATGACTGTTTTCATAGACAGTTATATATTGAACCTAAAGGAAACTTCCAAAAGACAAAAAGTATCTATTTCAATAAAAAGTTTGCAAAATTAAATACTTCTAATATTATAAAACTAATCCAATATTATTTAGATATATTGAAGAATATTTGTTTTGGCTGTTGTCAATCATTATAGATTGACTATATTTCTATCACACATAATCCAGCACTGTTAACCACAAATAAATTGCAATAAAGTATTAATTTGTTTTTTAATATTAAAAAAAATCTCTCTAAGAAAATCTTTCTCAAGGCCAGATTTTATTTTCTTTCTTTTGCATCTCTTTTCAACTACTTCACCCAAACTTAAGTCATTCATAGAGGTTTTCTTCACTTTCTTAGTTAAGAAATGACACTGTTCTATCCTACAATCTAGTCTTCTTTAACTTTACCATCTTACTGAAATCCATGCAGAAGTGTCAAGTTACATTTTTCTATTATCATCACTGAAAAACTGAATAAAACTACCAAAACCTATCAGAGAACCACATTTGTTAGATAGGGGTCATTGAAAACCCAGTATATACTTCCCATACCCAGCAGTTTTATCTTAAATTCTGATTGTAATTTAATCTTTAAGAAATCTTAATAAAGAATGGTACTACTTTTCTGTATGGCGAAGATAATTTTGACATAATTTAGAAGAGTGTTTTGGATCATTGTCTTGTTGAAAAGTGAATTTTTTCAGTTATGCAAGTCTTTGCAAAATCGAATGATATTGTTCTTAAAAAAAAAAAAAAAAAAAAAAAAACAACTGAATCAAATCTTTAGTCCTCTCTCCTGCAAAACATTCCCAGACTATAACAGACCAACCACTATACTTAACTGTTGGGAACCACACATCCATCATTCAGTTTTGTCCTGTCTTTCTTCACACATACACTCAAAAAAGTTCAAGTTTGAATTCATGTATCCACAATACATTTTGCCTCTCTTTTAATGTCCAGTTCTAATGCTTTTTTGTCTTTTCTGCTTATTCACCTTCCATAACATACTATATACCCCCCTTTAGCCCCACTGATCTAAGTTGATTTTTCACTGGTGAGAGTGCACTGGTTACTGTTGAGAGGAATAAAGTTTCAGTTGTTAACTCTGGAACAGTTTTCCTTCTATTTCTTTTGCTCTTAATAATCAAGTGTTTATCTCCAGCAGCAGTTATCACTTTTTGTTCTCCATTTCTTTATCTGTCAACATTTGCACCAGTTTCTAAATTTGTGCCTCACCTCAGTGCTTTGCTTTTGCCATTTTGTACAAATTACTTTAAAATTGAAAATGAATAAAAAAAAAACTATGTTAAGTACTTTCGTAATAGCACAATCTTTTTTTCTTCTTCAAAAAGAGACTGTTACATATGTTTTGTTTACAATATTAGTCAGTGCTGAGTTAACATTAAAACTGGTATTAACATTTAACTTAGCTGAAAATTTTGGTAAGTTCAAAAAGTTTAATCATGGGTTAATGGTGAAAGCATAATATAATGTTTCTCATACAAAATATTCATAATTTAGCAAAATGTATTATTGAGAGATGAATCCAAATTTTTTTTTGGTAGTAAGAGGAGTGTGGATAAATACTAAAAAATAAAAGCAAATACACTCTAGTTACTGAAATTTTATCTTTTACTTTAAAAAATACAAAATATCTCATTTTAAGGTATTTTAAAAAAAATGCAGGGTGGCCCTAAACTTTTAACCTGTAGTATATATTATGCATTTGTTTTATTTTAGGAAAGGCCAAAATGTCACTCACAAAATGATTTGTGTAACTTCTTGACAAGAAAGTATGAAAAATCTAACAGGTGAAAAGTGGAGATCAGGTGGGCCAGCTGAGATTAATCAACGTCATACAATGCAGAAAATAGCCAACACTTTTACCAGTTTGGTTGTATCAGTTGTTTTCATAATTCTTACCATCTCTCTTTATTCTCCCTCTGAAAAGAGGTCAATGTATACAATGTCTTACACCATAACAGGAATTGTACTTTTCTTGGTTTTAGAGAGTAAAAAAATTCTTACTGTTGATAGAAAAACTTCAAGGGTTAAATATAAATAAGATCATTGACAGTGACATTGAGAATAAAAGGTAAATTTTGTAACCAAAAGATTTTAAAAATGAAGAAATTAAATTCGGTCCTGCTTACGACAGTCCAATGTAAACTAAGGTATTTCAACACTTATGCTATTTCTTATGGATGCATTTTCTCATTTTGTTAAACAGAAAACATTACCCATTTAATGTTCGCATCCACATATTAATTGTAATACTTGGGTTCTCTTGATTGCATCAGTATCCCAGCACAATTATTATTTGATAAGTTCCTTCAACAGAAATATTACAAGTAAATAGAGATTTTTCTGGGGAGGAACAAATACTCTGCTATCTATCGATTTAGGTTTGCTACCTATGATGCATTGAAAGACAAGTTTATTTCTATGACAGGTATAACATGATACTACAAATTATACAGCCCATTGTCCATGTCAAACATATGTAGATCATAAAAACTGGAAATAGACTTAATATCTGTATTTTCCAGATTGTAAAGGTTTTTTCTTAACATGTTTAGTAAATTCAGTCAAATTCTGCTTTATACTTAGGCTTACTCATTTAATTCCCAGTAGTCATAAAGAGTCCATAATTGTAATACCACAATATTGTTGGATTTTAAATATTTTCTGGCTCTTAATGGAAACAAATGTTTCATTGTTCTTTTAGAGTCAAAAAGAAAAAGGAAATGCATTTTCAATTATTAGAGTTATAACACAATGGAAGGCAGCTATGATCAAGGCACTCCTATAGAAGTGAATGGTAAACAATTTTATCTGAGTTTTTGTGTTTTTATGACTATGTAGACCAAACATTTCAAACACATAGCCCATGGGCTGTATGTGATCTGCATATTATCACACTGTGGCCCATGGGGAACCATTTTCATGACCAATATTTTCCTCAAATTTGAATAAGTTCAATAAATTTGTCCATCACCACATTCCATACTTGGCAATAGCAGTCCTAAGCTTGACCTACCCACTTAAGTGCAAACAGACCTTGATGACCTTAAAAAAGGTCAACAAGGTCTATTCCAGTTCCTCTCCAATGAAGGGAAGAAAACCTCTGCATCACCATCTATACTTTATGAGAGAGTACAAATGTACTTTGCAACAATGCCTGGGTCTTTTCGCTTTTGTTTTTTTTTTAATTTTATGAGAAATAAATTTGATAACTTATGAGGGAAAGTGGAAATGAGCATTGAATTATTATATACATTTAAAAAACAATCCTGATAAGAATTTTAGAGAAATGATTACAACTTGTTTTAGGAACATAGAGATAGAGAGGCAATTAAGATGTGATATGACTCAAACGTGAGGAAATGCAAAGTTATTTTATCTATTTTTTTTAATAAAAAAGGTGAAAAGAGATAAATTTGGCTAGTTAGATTGGTGTAGCACTGTAGCTGAAAATGAAGATTTTTTTCATAAAACAAGAAGGAATAGATTTGATAAAATTTAGGTGAAGTAGGTACATGAGGTACCACTATACACAACAGACAGTGAGAGATTTTTCATAATGAGAAGAGGAATAGATTTGATCTCAAACTGAGGTGAAAGAAGTATTTGAGGTAAAAAAAAAAAAAAAAAAAAAAAAAAAAAAAAAAAACAACACAAGCAGAAAGTCATGTGAGAAAGAGATTTGAGAGAAGATAAACTGAAATTTCAAGGAAGAAAGAATTGTTTTTGGTCAGCTACATAAGTAAAACAGAAAATGTCAAAGAAAAAGAAAATTGCTGAAGGCAACCAAACTTTTCAAGTGGGAATATTTGCATTTTGTGACAAAATTAAATAGGAGTGGTAACCGTCCTGTAAAATGTGTATTTCAAGAAATGATGATTTTTTTTTTGAAATTATGCATAAATTTTGCTTTTTTTAAAAAGTTGTACTTAATAAACTCAAATGATTGGATACTTGCACAAAAATTTTGTCTAACATTCTCATTTTCCCTCTCTTTCACTTTTACACTTCTTATCACTCAAAATTAACAAACTGATTTAATTCAGCCTTGTGGGTCTGTGGACACCTGGTTGTCTCTGTCCACAAGAGAGTCTACAGATCTCTTAATTGTCCATATGGACAATGGGGCACCCCATGTACTTCTCCCTCATTTTGTAGTGGCCCTTTTATGTCCTTAAGTTTGAGACACCTGATGTAGACAAAATCTACAAAGTGACTACACACGGACCAAAAGGAAATAGATAAATGAAAAATTTCAGGAACAAGTGCCACTTGGCTGGATGTTTACAGAGTAATGAATTTGGATTTGAAGTACAATGGAATTACAAAAACAACTAGAGATGATCCTAGTGAGAAAGGAAGCAAAACAAAACCATAAGAAAATCTCACCTGAAGACCAAAGCATGCAGCATGCGTATATTTGCCATTTCTTGGAAATAAATCCATGTAAAAGTAACCAAGCAGTTCATCTGTGTCAGCATCTCTAACACTGTACTAGAAAATAAAACAAAGTTATATTAAATGTCCCAAATTGATAAATTCTAAATATATTTTAATGGTACATTGACTAAGTGTAAGAAGCTTCTCAGTTATTAATCGTGTTCATTTTTTTTTCAAATGTTTAAAATTTCAAAATAAATGATAAAATATTACAGAAGGTTGAAAGATTCTATACTTTGCTTAAGTGATCTGGCACTATGATACTTTAAAGACCAGCACATGACAAAACAGCTCATAATTTGGATGTTGTTTAACAATATTGAAAGAAAGAAAGAATGGTTTATCAATTATGTTTTTCTTTTGATCTAAAGAGTGTCAGTTTTGCTATCCAATAAATTTTAGGGTTAAGTCTGTGTATTTAGAGTGCTGGTACCGGGATAAGATAAGAGATGAATAACATCCTAAGGATTGCTAATTATCCTGATCTGTTTAGTTTTTGCAATTTTTTTTTTAGTCTTTCAGGGTTTGAAGATCTTTGTTGATGAAATAATGCTACTGGTTTCATCTGCAGTGTTTTCATGTTAAATGCTTTCAGGGATTATTTCAGAGAGTCCCAATAGGTCAGGTGTTCTCAACCTTTTCTATGCCTCACACCACTAGAAAACTTGTAATATGATCTGTAACCCCCATATTATTTTTTATATATATATATATATATATATATATATATATATATATATATATATATATATATATACACACACACACAAAACTAATATCTCATGAAGACAAAGAAGGCAATTTATACTCAATTTGAGCAACAGATTTAAGTTAATTTTTGGATGACATGAAAAGGAAGAAAAAAAAAAAAAACCATTATAACAAATTTAAATACGAAGAAATAGTACAAAAAAATTTAAGCTTTTCATTCAATGTAAGTGTTAATTAAACAATTTCAAAAAACCAAAATCTAACATTAAGAAATTCACATCAAAAAATGTAAATTTTAAATCTAATGGCTTTTTTGTTCCTCTTTCTTGGATATGATTTTGTCAAAACGTGGTACTTTGTTGCTGATAACAATCCACATGTCTGCTCTTGGATTCATGCGATTTCTAGATTTTGTCTTGATTGACAAAAGAGAACTAAATCCAGACTCACATAAGTATATGGTCGCAAATGGGATAAGGACACCAAGTGCTTTTTCACAAAGTTTTGGAAACATATTCATTACTCCAAAATCTTGCTTTCAAATTGCATTTCAAGAACATGATTTGTCTGCAAATCAATAAGATCTTCCTTCAGCTTGTCATCATCTGACATATCCAAATTGTAGGAGTATGGATTCATGATCCATTCTCCTGAAATCTTCAGTTCTCCAGCTGCAAAATATCCATCAAATGATTTTGACAGCATTTCCAAATGAGTCACAATATCTTCATGCACAGTAGGAATTAGAGATCCATTATCATCAACAATTTCTTCAAGATGGAAAATTTGGAAAATTACCTCTTTAACCTGTCAACACCAAAGAGGTAACTTTTTTTCTTTGAAACCTTCAACTTTTCGCAATATTTCAATATGTTCATATCTTTTCCATGAAGAGAGACACTCAGTTCATTCATACAAGTGAAAATGTCAGCCAAATAAGCTAGCATTTGCATGAAATTTTGTGATTTCAATTCACCAACCAGATTATAGTCACATTCCTCCAGAAAAAACTTTGATTTCTTTTGCAGTTCAAAGAAGTGGGTTAAAAGCTTGTCCTCGTGAGAGCCAGCAGACTTCGTGTGGAAAAGCAAAATTGTTGTATGTTCATTTCCCAGATCTTCACAAAACAACTTAAAGATGCAATGGTTCAGAGCACAACCCCTAATCCAGTTGATGATCTTTACACAAGTGTCAAGTACTTTTTTTTCAACCTTGGAGGCAATGTTTTTGCTGCCAAAGCATGACGATGAAGGAAACAATGTGACTTGACTTGCAGAATCTCCCACTTCATCAGTGCAGAAAATCCAGATTTATTCCCTAGCATTGCAGGAGCACCATCAATGCACACAGAACCAATAGTTTTGATATCTAAATCATGTTTGGCATAAGTCTTTCACAGACTGATACACATCTTTTCCCTGTGTGTTTGTTTTCAGCTCTTCACAAAACAGGAAGTCTTCTTTCACAATATCATCGCTGACATACCTAACCCATGCAATGAGTTGACTGCAGTTTGATACATCAGTTGATTCATCCAACTGGAGAGAGATTTTCAAAGAACTAAACCTGACATCTGAGATAACTTGATCAAAAATATCACTCAAATCACCAATTCAATTGTGAATGACATTATTTGATAGCGGCACTAATTCAAGCTTTTTTTCTTGCTTCCCAGCCCATTGTTGCCATTTCTAATGCACATGGTTTGATCAGCTCTTCTGCAATTGTATGGGGCTTCTTGAATTTGGCTACTTTATATGCCACTTGGTACAAAGCCAGGAGCAGTGGTTTGTCAACAGAAACAAAACCTAATCTTGGAAGGGTTCCACAAGATTGAAAATGGGCTCTTTTAGTTTTTTTCAAAATCATGGCCTTCAACACCACCTCCACCATGCTTGTTGTTGAAGTGCTCTTGCAGCTTTGATGGCTTCATATTTGTGTTGGAAAATATAGCATCACAAAGTATGCACTGGGGTTTTTGCAATTCATCATTTCCCATGCAAGTGAAACCAAAGTGTACGTAGTCATCATTACATATTTTTTTTTTTTTTTTTTGACAAAGGATAAAAGAGATAGAAAAGATGAATAATTTATCAATCTAATAACTTCAATATAATCAGCAATGTAATAAACAATATAATAGAATCTGGCACCCATCAAATTTGGATTCTAGAGATAATTCTGAACTTAATGAAGTAAAAACAAAATAAGAGGCTCACCCACTTGGCAACCCGACTATAAACAGTAACTGGCAGGAAGCAGTGCTGCCTATTTTCAGTTGTTAATTTGAATGCTATCCATGACTGGCTAATTTTTAAAAAAAAAAAAAAAAAAAAATTAGAAAAAAAAAGTCATTTTCTCTTCTGCTACTGTTAAATTAGTTAAAGGTATCAGCAAAAATAATAAATAAATTTGAATGTTTAAAGCATTATAGTTTAAACATTTAAATTTATTTATTTATTATTTTTGCTAAATTGCCTAATCCAAGGTTTCACACCCACTAAAAGTTGATCTCACACCCTAGGGGGTGCAAGCACTCCCAGTTAGGAACCACTGCAATAGGTAATACCACTGGATAAGACAAGTGGGGGAGCTTGCCATATCCTTTTAAGAGAATTATATTAAATACTTACCATAGAAACATCAGGATGCCAGACTTCAGCATTTTCAACTTTTTTAAACTTTAAACCAAGTAATTCCTACAAAATATAGACAAAACATTTAAAAAATGTTCTTTTAATTTTATTTGGCAAGGTCAGTAACAGAGATGAATAATAAAAATTTTGGAAAATATGCTGTATATCAACGTTGTAGAATCATGTAGCAAATAAAACAAGTGATTAAAAATATTAATAAATAGATGACGTAAATCACTGAAATTTTTTCAGCAAAGCATTCAAAGTATTCAAAGCTTTTATTTACCTGGTAAATGTCAAAAAGGCCTTCTGTTACACGTGGGAGAGGAAAATATTCTCGTAGTTTGTCCTCATCAATTGCATATTCACGTTCTTCTAATAAATTCATACAATATCGAACATCCCATTTGTTTATTTTGCCATCATATTCAAAGTTATAGGTGTTACACTGCAAAAATAAGACTGCATTATTTGCAATTTAAAATAAACTAGAGAGGAATAATTGAGAGACTGGTTCCAGGCTTTGTGATTATATATTAAATATTTTTTCTGTTATAAAAAATTATATATGAAGAGAATATAAGCTTAAATATGAACACTCTAGCTTCAGTTGGTAAAGAAGTAAATGTAAAAACAGATAAGGAAAAGAATACTAATAAGCATTAATTATTGTGATAATACTATTCAGAGCATTACCTATAAACTAGCTTCAGTACTGTGGTAAGAAAAATTCAACAATAACATGCAAGTCAACTATATAAACAAAATAGTATATTTGATTACCAAATATGAAAAGTTCACATTTTCAGCTATCATGTTTGAAAAAAAAAAAAAAAAAAAAAAATAGTTCATATTAATATACCTTAATGCGAGCATGCTAAATTTATATTTAAAAAATCTTGCTTGAAGCAACAAACTACGGTGTGAGAACAACTTACCATCAGCTCTTTGTATTGCTTATAGGCTTTCAGTTCCTTAGCCAAAAGGACTTTTAGCTTTGGAATAAGTTCACTATAAAATTTTTGAACAGCTTCATGATTCTTGGCCATCCGCATATCCAAAACTGAAGCTGCATGTGTCTTGAAACCTAACAAAACTGCTATCTGAAGAAGTTTTTAAAGGGAAATAATAAATGTTAAAATATCAGTTCAATATAGAATTTAATACAGTGGAATCTTGATTATCGAGTACCTCAGTTATTGTTCACTTTATTCAGCAAAAATATGTCTAAGAAATTATACATCTCTTCAGTTACAGAGTGAGGAAATCCATTTGTTACAAACCTGTACATTCTTGTTAGCTTGCTGCCAGGTGACTTATCACAGTGAAAGAAAAGGGAAGTAACCCCAGAAAAAGACTTAGCTGAAGTATTTATGGAGGAGCATTTTTCTTCCAAACAACATCTCTTTTTCCTCCCCACCATCTTACATATACCAAAAAGAGTTTTCAATAAAAGGTAAGAGAAGTTAAATGTTCATTTATTCTATTTGTCATTTATATTTCTTATTGTTTTCTGCATGTTATTCAGTAAAAAATGTATTTTTTGTTAATCTTTTTGTGTATGTGAAATGAATTGGATTTACATTATTTCTTATGGAAATATTACCTTGGTTAACATTAATTTCAGTTTTCAGACAACATTCTGGAATGGATTTTGGCTGATAATTGAGGTTCTACTATATAGAACATTTCCTAAATTAAACACTTCAGTCATTTTCACCTTTACTATATTGAAAAGAAAAAAAATCTAAATGAAAACTTTTCTATCTTCATGTTTTTCATCATGTTAGGCACTTAACCAGAAAATGAATAATATTTAAAAACTGACATGTGAGGAACAAAATGGCAAGTATTATGTACTTAAAGAAAGCTTAAAAAATGAGTATATTCATCAATAACAAACAAGATGAAACAAGTCTTTTTTTTGTTGTTTGTCCATTAACAAGATAGTATTTATAAGCATCATCATGAAAAAGAAATTTACATAAGCAGTAAATTAAAAGTAGTTGTACTTGTGTGAGGTGGAACAAAGCTACATTAAGTTTTCATTTATGTTAACCTCATACATCAATGCAATACATGTACTAAAATCAGTTAACAATATTCATATATGACCATATTCTTTTAAGTGGAGGAGTTTAAGACTTGATTAAATATAGTTTAAGTTTTTTCAAACTACAGACATTGAAAATTACTTACCTTATGTCTAAGTTTTACAACCTCTTCAAGGATTGGAATATTCTCTTTGATACATCTAAATAACAGAGTAGATTGCATAAATGAATTCCAATGACCATTAGGTTTTTGAATAATCAGAATAGTTATATAGATCATAACAACTCTTCTTTTATTTTTAGAACTATTTTAAATCTTTATCAAATCTCTTAAGATTTCCATATAAACGATTAAGGTTAACTTTGAAAAACATACTTGCATCTTGTTGATATTCAAACAAAAAATGAGTAGTAAGCAATTTAAAAAAATATTTCAATGCTTATTCTGATTCCACTTATAACATATTTATATAAAATATAATAAAAAAAGAATAAAAGTCACATTTAGAAATTATAAGCATAAACAGATAAGTAGCTGCTTTTAGTAACAGTAGAAAAGAAACTTTAGCCTAGCGGATTGTAAACAGTACTTAAAAAATAAAAAAGTAAAAATAAAGAAAATATATAATATGATTTTATATAAAAATATTACTGTTGAAGTTATTTGAATTGTTTTAATAGTTTTTTTAATTATAAAATTATTTGTAATATTGTCATTAAAAGTGTTCATAATAGCTAAAACAATGATTAAAATTAAAGAATATTTATAAGAACTTAATTTTTTTCATAGAGTATGCTTTCTAACATGATATGTAAATTAATAAAATATAATTATAAATCAAATCACCATACAGTCATTTATGTCAAACATCACTGTTGTAGAGTAAATAGTATGCCCTCAGTGAGTATATGAACTATAGAGTTCCAGGTCAGAGTAAGAGAGAAGCTGTTTGGAGTCAATCTTCAGACTAAGTAATACAGGCATTACAGCAAGTAGCTGAATCATTATTTATATTAAGCACTACAAAGTGAGTTATAACAGTGGTGACAAGGAATTCAAAATTCAGGCAATTTATAACCATTGTGATGAGGATTCAGAACTTTTATGACTTATAACAGTAATGATGATTCAGGAAATCATATGAGTTGTAACTGGAGTTACAAAGATTTGGGAAACTCGTACGGAGTGAACAAGTATGGAAAAAAATATATATACTTGATGCTTCAGGAACAAGGATACAGGTGATGACAAGAATTTTAGCCACATTGGTTTAGAAAAATTTTTTTTTTCTTTTGGGGATGTGGGTGTGTGTGTGTGTGGGTGGGGGGAACATTCTTGTGAATATGGAGCAAACTTTGCTTTGATAGTTGAAATTCAATAACAGAAACAGCAACAACAACAAAATCAACAGTTGCTAGAATTACAAAAACAGCAATAGGAGTTGTTGGATATAATTCTGAAGAAAATAAAATTCTTCAATGTTACTTATGCCAGATACTGCCAAAAACACCATATCAAAATTTGTATACATTCCTGATGAGGGACTGATTTCCTGCATATTTTTGTAGATATGAACAAATATTCAGTCAGGAATGAAGTGGCTGGGAAGATGAGAGAAAAATAAGATTGCTGTTGAGGAAAATAGCTGTGATAGAGTATGAAAAATACAGCAACTACATATCGATAGCATACCCTCCCAACGTTTGACATTTGGATGTTTATCAGCTCTGCCTGGTGAAATGGTAGCAGCAACCATTTCCTCAGTTGCAATTTGACCTTTCATTATGGCCTGAGCTTAGTCCAACAGTTGGTTTGTATTCATGTCTTCCATCCTGGAAGATGCACACAGTAGTTGCTTGACAGGTGCTGGTAGCCCTGCTATGAACACACATGCCAGTCCATGCTCAGATACCCCACCAAATAGACCTGCTAACTTCTTCAAGTTGGCTAGAAATACATTGACAGATTTGTCTGGGCACAGTTGGCATTCCACGAACTGCTTGTAAGCCAAGAAACGATCCGATGAGTTTAGCTGTTGGTAAACAGCAAATGCTCTGTCCATCAACCTGAGGAAGAACACGTTCAACCTTTTTAATTCCACACAGGTCACAAACAAGTTCTGCTTGTCCAGTCACCAAACCATCAAACTCGGGTATCAACTCGATGTCAAATGTCCTGTCCATCAAAGTGCCAAAATAGCTTGTTAAGTGTTCTGGGATTGCAAAGGAAATATTTGTCACAGAGAACAAATCACTGTACGTTCAGACACGAATATCGGAGGCAGAAAGAAATGCCGAAATCTCAATTCGCAGGTACTATCTCACAAATCACAATGCATGTAACCAGTCAGAAAAATAACTCACTCTCCGACAAACGTGGTAGCCAAAATACACAAATTTTATTCCTCCCCTCTTGATTCGAGAACACCAACTGCTTTTATCAACTGAGCATTTTTTCCATTCGTCAACAACTGGGAGAGGATGCCCGATTTTAGCATATCAAAATACTTTTATGGTGACTCCTGCGACTGACTTGTTTCTAATTTAAATATTCCTTCTTCAGCATGTTATGCGGAATACATGCCTTTTTTGTAAGCAATTTTCTTTTGACACATTTTTTGTTGTAGGATACACACGACACACTGTTGCTTGGTTTGACGAGGTAATTTGCTGTTTTCTTCGCTATACATTGAAACCACAAGTAAGGAAATTGGAAAGCCTTTATTAAAAAGGACTTATTGTTATTTCAGTTTTTGGTGAGAAATTATTTTTTTGAGAAATGACTTGTCTCATTCTATAATAAGCATGTAAAAATTAAAGCTTATGTATAAAAATGCTATGAATTTATTCAGTACTGACAGGATGGAACTATTTCAACTTTGGGATTTGCTGATAAATGTTTATAAATGTAAGTAGACAAGAGATCAATTTAAAAAGTCAGAGCAAAGATCTTAAGGAAGAATTAAAAAAATGTTTTCCAGATATTCTGTCAAATAAACTGGATCAGTGTTACAAATTCAAGTAAAAAAATGTTTGATGCCAGCATTTAAGCCGAAACAGAGTGTATCATTCACAGCATTAGAAGAGGCCAATGAAGAGTTGGACAGACTTGAAAGAATTAGTGTAATAGAAAATTTTAAATATTCAAAATGGGCTGCACCAGGAAAAATGTATGTAAGGAAAAAAAAATAATAAAATTTGTGTTTGCATGGATTTCTTGACAGGATTTTGCATTGGCATATCTGGACAACATTTTAATCAAAAGTGTATCTAAAGAACATGTTTGGCATGTGAAAACTATTTTGAAAAAACTAAGAGAGTATGGATTCAAGATCAGTGAAGAAAAATGTGAAATGTTTTTGCCAAAAATAAAATACCTTGCTCAAATTATTGATAAAAATGGTCATCGACCAGAGCTGTCAAGTAATTAAAAATATTTTCCAGGACTGACTAATTACTATAAAATATATGTGCATAATATACATAATTTGAGAGCTCCACTGAACAATCTACTTAAAAGAAAAGGATTAAAGTGAAACTGGAATGATAACTGTCAAAAGACGTTTGATGAAATAAAAAAAAAAAAGATTTATGTCAGATTCGTCATTAGCACACTATGATCCAAAAGCAGAAATTATAATAGCATCAGATGCTACTGATTATGGTATTGGAGCTTGTGATTTTACACAAATATGATGACAATAAAACGAAAGCCTTTGCTCATGCTTGACACTCACAGCAGAGAAAAATTACAGCCAGATAGAAAAAAAAGGCTCTAGCAATTATATTTGCTGTAAAGAAATTTCATAAATTTATTCATGGAAGAAATTTTAGGTTACAATTAACAATATATGGTTCAAAAGAAAAGAATACCTATGCATACAGTTAATAGACTGCAATGCTGGGGTATGATCTTATTAAACTATATTTGGATTACCAAAATTAATACCTAATAATGTGGAACCATTTGAGGACACAGTCATTGCAGCACTAAAAAGTAAAATGGAAATAAAAAACATTTTGTGCAATGTAGTATGAGAGTTACCAGTTACCCTGGAAGAAATAAAAGAAAAAGCAGAAAATGATGTCTTTATTATGAAAATAAGAAGCAATTGAAAGAAAGTAGTAAAGAATGAAATCCAGACTTAAACACTTACTTGCTATGCAATGGTGTAGTAATGTTCAGGCAAAGGGTTGTAATAACCTAGTGTAATACCCAGAAGCAAATATCGAAGGATTTTCATAGCAGATATCCTGGAATTTCAAGAATGAAATCTCTGATGAGAAATTTCATATATTGGACCAGAATAGACCAAGATAACGAAAAATAGTGAAAGCTTGCAGAAGTTGTGCTCTGAAAGCAAAACTACCTATCACAAAGATAGAACCTTGGCCAAAGACAGACATGCCATGGTCAAGATTGCATATGGATTTTGCAGGTTCTATAAATGGAGCAGGTTATCTTGTGGTAGTTGATAGTTTTACTAAATGGCCAGAAATTTATAAGTGTAAGAATCCAACATCTTCCATAACAGTGAATTTCTAGTATGAACTGTTTGCCAAATATGGCATACCAGATACCATAATCTCTGACAACAGAACACGATTTACAGGTAAAAAATTTGAAGATTTTTTTTTAAAGATGTTCTCCATTGAACATATGACCCCGCTGTATCACCCAAGGTCGAATAGACAAACAGAACAGTTTGTGGGAACATTCAAAAGAGCATTGAAGAAAGCAGATCTTGATAAAGTAAATGAGGAAGCACTTCAAAATTTTCTGAGAGTTTACTGTGTAGAACCTAACCCCAATATGCTATCAAGCTGATAGAATTAATGTTTGCTAGAAAAGTAAAATTGGTGTTCAACAAATTATTACCAAGTCAAAAAACATGAACAGATAACAAAAACGACACCAAAGTTTCAAGGTTGGCAATGTTCTTAGAGCCTATGAGGATGGCAAAGAAACATGAGAAGACTGTATAATATCAATAAGAATTGGGAAGTTGATTTACATGGTAAAAGAGAAAGATTTGAACATAAAAAGCACCATAATCAGCTGAAAAAAAAAAAAAAAAAAAAAAGGTTAATGGATGAAAGACTTGAAACATTGGAAGAACCAATAAAAATGCTATATGAGGTTTTCAATGTGTCAGCACCACAAGTCATGAAACCTACAGGGACAAGTTCCAGAAAAAGA